GGATCAGCTTGGTAAATTGATGCCAATAGTAATGAAGAAATATTTTTGGGGTATTCTTCTCAAAGCAAAGCTTACAAGTTATACAACAAGCGGACACAATGTATGGAAGAAAGTGGTCATGAGCTATTCAACAAGACTCCTTCTTCTAACGAGGGAGGAAACAGTAATGATCAAGATAATGAACCACTTTTGGTTCCTGGGAGATATCTGATGTTTCAAATGGCAAGGGTAATATGATGAGTCAGATGAAGGAGACAGGTGAAGACAATGAAACTCTTTCCTTCACTACTCAAAAGGAACCTGGTACTTCAATTATTATCAACTAAAGCTGAAGAAAGAGTTGGAGATGTAGTGCAAAAGACTTCACAAGTAGCAGAACAAGGAGTGCAGGGAAACGCACTCAGTTCCTCTACCAATTAAAATCTCAGCTCCCATGAGGAAATGCACCATTTTGAAGTAAACAAAGTTATCTCGCGGTCAAGAAGAGCACATCTGGAATGACTCATTCGATTGAATCATCTCATGGGATACGAGGAAATACAACCCAGTGGTCCCTCAACAGTTGATGCAGACGCTCTTAAATTGGAAAAGAACCTGGTCCATCAAGAGGATCAAACTCATTGATGCCTACATTTGTCTCAAAAATAATGCAAGGGGGACTTATCTGTATGAGACTTTGCTGCACAAGAACATCAAGTTGCAGATATCTTCACCTAAGGCATTGAGCGAGGAACATTTTGAAAGAAACAGGGTAAAGCTGGGGATGTTGAAGCTTAATTGAGAACCGGATACCTCATCAATTGGCTATGAAAATCTCTTATAGGTAAAACTAGCTAAAGTGTTTTCTGGCCAAGCCTAACTCACATCGATACTGTTGCAGGTAAACGCATGACGATCATAGAAGCTAAAGGTACAATGATGAACTGCGAAAGAAGAGCTGCTAAAATCTTTTTCAAAAAAAAAACCGTTCGGGCATCAGGTTCCTGTACCACAGGTTAGTAGTAATGTGTTATCTTGCATGCTTTCTCAAAAAGGTTAACAAAATTAATTCAACTGCCACATCATCCAACTTTTCAATGTCTGCATATCATGTCTTGTCTTTCAAATCCCTTCACCTCCTCTGCACGATAACATTTTCCCACAAACCTACCGTCGTTTTCAAAACCCTTCAGAACCCGTTTCTCTCTTCTCATCATTAGCTCTTCTTCCCATAAAACTCTCTTTCTTTCTCACAGCAAGTCATGAACCTTCATCTCTTGTGTATCCCTGTGATCTTCTCTTCATTTCTTTTTCACTCCACTTCCTTACCAAATCCTCCTACAGTGGCAATCGAACGATCGCTTCCTTCTTCCACCATTAACACCACTCTCACTCCCGTATCATCCTTACAATCATCACCAGAAATTCACTCTTCCACTTTTCCCAATGCTACTGCACCCACACCTGGTCCCTCCTCACTTCCTATAGTTCTTTCTTCTCTGTCAAACTTTGTCTTCCTTCCATGTGTTGAAAACCCCATGAATTCTCATTCCTCTGATCTCACCAAAGAACACTCAGGAAGTGTTCCCTCTCAGATGTCAGAGGTCTCTGAGGATGATCCTGATCAGTATCTGAACTCCTCCATTTTGGACTCAGTGGCTCTCACAGAGTCACCAGAAAAGGAAGCAGCGCACAATATCATGGCTATTGCTGCTGAGAGTTTGTTGAACGAAGGAGCCTATCCTTTGTCTGAGTATCATGGGGAAGAAACTCCATTCTTAGGCGATGAAAGAATGAAACAGTCACAGAAAAACCTGTTGGAGGACCTGATTCTCTTTCCGATAAATCAACTCAGGAACCTCTTGTTTATCCTAAACCCTTAGAATTCTCTTCCAAGTTACCCACTTCCAGGTTGCAGCAGAAAGAGGCTTTCGAGTCTACCTTGCAGAAAGGTAAGAGGAGTGTCAAAACAAAAAGGAAGAGGTCGATGAAACAAGGGGAGCTTGTGACTAACAAAAGTATTCCAGTGGCTGAGGTTGACAAAGATGCTCTAGAGGAACCTGGTTCCCTAGTAAAACGATCTCTAAAAATCCAGAAGTCTGTGGATGGAGCTTCCGATGACGCTATTGAAAAACAAAGTGAAACATCCGTGAAGGGTAGTAGCAAGTCTAAGAAGAGTGTAGCTGAGCAAGCTATGTCTGAAGGAGATACTGTGGGGTTGTAAGTTGGAAAGGGAAATCGGTTGAAGACTCTAGAAAACGAAAACGGGAAACTATAGGGGAACCTGGTTCTCTGAAGACCATACCTATTGACAGTGGTCTTTGGCAGGAGAGATTGAGAACTCAGAAAGTCTTGTGGGGTCGTATGTTTGATCCGGCAATCTCAGAGATGGCAGGTATGAGACAAATTTTGGAGATACTGGAATTTCAGCAATGGGAGCACTTGTTTCAGGAGAACATGCCTATAATGTACGAAGATGCGGTACAAAATTTCTACGCATCTCTCTTCACTGTTGAGGGGGATCACATCTGTGTGCTAGTAAATGGAGTAGACATTGTACTTGATGCTTCAGCATTGGGGAAGGTTCTCCAAATTCCATGTGAAGGAATGTCCTCAGTCAAAGGTATCTGTGGTGCTAATTTAGGAGAGCTATCATGAAAGAGCAAGCTATTCAGCAGGGGAACAGGTACATAAGAAAGTGCTGCTTCCCGAGTATCAGCTTCTCTTTGAGCTGGTTAATAAGGTGTTTTTACCTTGCTCTGAGAGGCAGTCTATTGCTACAAAGTCTGATCTGGTTCTAATGGAAGCTCTGGATGAGTTTGTCCCGATCAACCTGCCAGCAATCATGATAGATCATATGCAAAAGGTGGCAAACTTTAAAGGTGGGAATCATGGGCTCCCATATGGATTCCTCCTCACTCAAAGTGTTTAAGTTTTACAAGGTTCCCTTGGGTAATCCCAGAGTGGGCACACGTAAGCAAACCTTCTCTAAAACTACTCTGGAAGAATGTGAGTGCGTAGAAAAGGTTGGTGGAAACATTTCGACTATTTCTCAGCTGATCAATGTTCAAAATGCTGCTTCTGAAGAGATCAGAAGATTGAGGGCTCAGAACGCCATACTAGAAACTCAGCTCAGTCAAGCTGTTAAAGGACCCGGTTTCATTAATTCCACAAATGAAGAAGTTGACCGCTTGACAAAGGAAAATGATAAGCTTCGCGAAAAACTGCTTGAAGAGCAGCTGTCTGCAAATGCCCGATTGGACCTGGTTCTCAAGACACTTGTTGCTTCCCTCTCCCAGTCTTCCTCTTCTAGTGCCCCTTAGATTCCTCCTAGTGACCAGTTATCTTCTGTTATGATGTTTTGTGGCTACTGTTTCTATTTTTGTTTATCCTTTTGCTGATGGCAGGCTGGATTTCACTATTACTGCTCCTGTTTTGCTCGGTCCATTATTCATATCAATGAAACAACTCCTCTTTTTGCTTGTACAATATTGTTTTCCTTTGGCTTCTCTTTTCTATCATATTGTGTGCACATATGTGGCATGAGTTGGCTGTACTGGACTTCTTTATGTTGTTTGCCTGTTTGTGTATTTTTAATGATGCCAAAAGGGGGAAGATTGTGTAGTGTGATTGAAACGGGGGATCTAATTAAGGGGGAATCAAAAGCAAAAGGTCAGGGTGAACTTGGTGACCAATTGATTGAAACAGGGGATCTGATTAAGGAAGAACCTTGGGTAGTTCCTGGTACCTCATCTGGTTATTTCTGCTCTAAATAGATACTATCAATGCCTAAGTTTGTCATCATCAAAAGGGGGAAATTGATGTGTTTTTAATGTCTTCACCTTATGTTTCTTGTGTTTTGATGATCTAACAAACTTACTGTTAAGTACCAAATAGGGAACCTGACTCACTTGGTACACATTTCAAATGAACGAAGTTCAGTCTGAACTCCAGCTAATAAACTACTACAAAGAGGAATACGACAGGGACCTGATCCGTTGGTGTTCTCTGACAAAAGTACAAGTCAACGGCTGGAATGCAATTGCAGAGAGTGATCCGACAGGGACCTGATCCCTTGGTGTTCTCTGACAGAAGTACAAGTCAACAGCTGGAACGCAATTGCAGAGAGTGACTGCCTGCTACTGTTCACGCGACAGTGCAGCAGTCACTTCCCATTGAAGAGGCTTGTACTAAGAATTGACATCATCCTTGTGATGTCTTTGGTAGCATAATAACATGGTGCAAGGCACAAGATATTCACTTGAGCATTTAGTGATATTCTCTCAGGCATTAAAGAGTCAATCCAGCATTAAAGTCACAAGTGTGTCAAGAACAAAAAGACAACTCCACTAAAGGATCAGTTTCACAATGAGTCTATGTACATCCGTAGTTGAGTTGTAATCTTATTATTTGCTCTTCATTGTAACTCCTATCTTGCTTTCTTAGAAGCTATGTTTTAGGAAACCCAAAAATCGCAAACCTTAGAAGGTTTGTGTTGTGACTAGAGTTAGTCATAAGTTAAAGTCTTTGTAACTAGTGAGTGACAAAGTGGCTTGTCGTAAGTGTACTACGAGTTAGTTGAGTTAAAGTCTTTGTAATAGAGTCATTACAAAGTGGCTTGTAATAGTGTAATTACAAGTTAGTGAAGTTGAAAGCGTGTAGGTCGTGGTTTTTGTCCCCTTGAGTGGGATTTTTCCACGTAAAAATCTCGTGTCTCTTTTACTTACTGTTTCCTAGTATTCTTAGTGGAAAATCATAGAGGACCAGGTACTCTATAGTTTGGTGGACTCATATAAACTAACAGAGACCGACTGTTGCGAGAAACTGACTGATGCGGGCTGAATTGAGATTTGATAAATTAGGAATTTAGGGTTTCAAATATTACTTTACATACATAGGGGGTAAAAGTGTAAATATAAAAATTCTTAACGGCTTAACGCTTTATCCGATAAGGAAATTGAGTAATCCACCCCCAAAACGTTAAGCCATTAATTATAAAATTTCAATCTGTTCACCAACCATTACCCCGATAACCCCATACCAATAAGCCAATAAGCCGTTTTTGCGGTTCGGTTAACGGTTATGGTTCGGATTTGAACAGCCCTAGTCCTTGAGAGGTGCAAAACCTTGAAAGTACATCACAATTCAAGCATTATCTTAAAATTCCTCGATTATGCCCAATCGTTGAAGATGAACAAACCACCAAATTGCTGAGGAGATAGAGCAACAACAACCGAGTGTGGAATCACATGTGAATTTTCTTAGCAAATGCAACCATCCATTATGGAAAAATGAAGAATTCATAATCAAATTGCTTTTTAAGAAAAAAATGAAAAATCTACCAAACAAAAGCGAGTCACTCTGAAATAAACCCCGAACATTTCAACTCGCAAAGAAGGAATGCCAAGAACTCTTAGAATTCGGCTTGATTGAACCATCCGACTCTTAGTGGCCTTGTGAAGCATTCTAAGTCAACAAATGATCCGAGCAAATATGATGGAAGTTAAGATTGGTAATCACTTGCAATCTATTAATCACTTCCTACAATACGATAAATTTCCTATCCCAAATAAGGTCACTCTATGTTCTCACAAACATACTTAATGATTGAGATCTGAATAACTAAAATTGAGACTTCCATTTTTTTTCTTTTTTCTTTTCTGACTGAGAAATCCATCTGGAGGCAACCCTTTTGGCAACCACAGCCTTCGAAACTCGAGTATGATGGGCCCTCCCCTCTACCCTTCTCCACTTGAATACCGGAGTTAATTCGTTTGGCGTAGGGCTCGAATCTGTGACCTAAGACACAAGTTCTTCACCAATTGAGCCAACCCTGGGGCTTCACATTCAGACCTTCATTAAGTGCAAACAAATGAGTCCTATATTGTACATGCAGCTTGATCGCATTTTATGTGGAAGAGTTCAAAGAGATGTGAAAGGGCTACTTTTTTTAACAAACAAGGAGTTGAAGCTGCTTTGTACTCCTGGTTAAACAATGTGGATTCTAATTATCAATATGGATGATCATTGTACTTTGCCACTTTTTCAAGTTAAATTCACAACTTTTTAGAAATCATTTTATACGGTCAAATCGTGGACAAAAAAGCTACCAGATGACGGAGTGCAACTTTTAACACCATAAATTAGGAGAAAAAGTTCAATTCAAGATAATAAAACTACCTGATTAGTTCCGTGCTTCAGTCTCCGATACTGTCCACAAAAGGAAGAGATTGTTACTTTTTTTACAAATTCGCGAGAGATTGCAGAATATCTTAAATCATGACTTACCTTCCCAACATTGAAGTGCTTGGTGTCATGACCTAACCATCGAAGATACCTAGTAAGTTTAGCAGCAGTAAAAGTTTTTCCACGAGCCGGCAAGCCTACCTGCATGAATGCAAGTCTTAAGATACCGCTTACTCCTCTACTAGAGTTGCACAGGACAGCTATTATATACGGTATAATTCCACAAAGAAAATGTAAAATAAATGCACAAGCATTGGGAACCAAAGCTGACAAAATGGATACCAGGACGATTGCAAGATGTCTGTCTTCCTTTGGTCCAAGCATTTGATCGGCTATAGCTGCAGCTGCAACAGCTCCTGCAGCTGCCGGCATCATATTCTAAGAATTAACAGTGAATAATAGATCAGATGTGTAAAAGTAACATATCTAGAATGACATTTTATGACACTATTCATTGCTGTTCTTTATTAGATAGCTACAGACCTTGGTATCTGAGTCAGGCTTCATATCAAGAGTGAAGGTGCTTGTACTGGGTGATTTAACTGGTCTAGGAGACCCCACACCCCTATCTACAAGGAGTCCCCTGTGGCTATCTTGCTTTTGCAAAGATGAAGAATTTCCCATAGACTTGGATTCAACCATGCCAGAACTTGAAGGAACTCTAGTTGGATCTGGGATTATTACTTCCATCTCCTGAATGATACCAAGACAGCAGAATTCAAAACTAACATGACTTCTCAAACAACAAGCTATAATGTTGAAGTCAAATGATAGCATAGATGGAAAAAGAAGACCAAAAGGTAAGCAAACTAAGTTGCCTAGACATTGCGCACGCAGATGGATGTCAGGCAGCCAAAAACAATGGCAAAAAACTAAAATGTGCATATATAATTGGTCATGAAATTGTACACGCATAGATGGTTTAACTTTTCTTCATACAAGAATTTTGGTGGGATAAGATGATTAGCTAGACTGCCATTGAATATCTTCTAGCCTTTGAATATCTTTTGGGAGACAATGATGATCACTATCCCATACAAACTAAATCCTAGACCAAACTCACTGTTATAGTAATGACTGCTAATTATAGAACGGAAGTACTTCAGCCAGAAAGAGAATTCAGGACTATTAGTAAACCTCTTCATATCAATATGTAACTATGTTATGGAGTATATTCCGTGTAATAAGCATGGAGTGCAAAGAACAGAATCTCATGTCTTACAATCAAATGAAATCACAAATAAGAAACAAAGGCAACATGAAAACCTTTACTGCAACAGGTCGATCATTTGGAGCATGACCATCTTTTGAGGAACCGGACATGCTGGTAGATCCATCAGTCCCTGAAAATACCTTGGTGCGATTTAGCGACCTAGGAGTTGCTGTCAAGTTAGCCGCATAAACCAAAGCAGAGGTTGCTGGAGCAGGGACAACATAGTGTTCTAGATCGAGCTCTAGACTCGCAGATGAGCCATTCTGCCCAGAAAGAATGTTTAAAATGTGATGGAACGTCATGAAGTTACGTGGAACTCATATCACCCTGTTAACGATTAACAGATAACAAGCCTCCTAAGCAGTATTCATGATTTACCATTTTTGAAGCAAGAAAGGTAACTCCATGACAGTCAAGAACAGAAAATGATAGCACTTATGAGCACTGATGGTTATAACAGTTTTAATCCCAAGACCAAACACTATATTTGACTAGTCATAGCTCAAATCATTCTATTTACATGCCTTCAAATATGTGCATATAGCGTAGTCGAGTTGCTTTTTTTGTTGTGATAAGTAGCATAATTGACTTGGTTAGTCATCAACTACCTTTAGTTTTTGCAATACTGCAGTTTACCAACTTCAAATCAAAGCATCGTATGATAAAGCAAAAAAACACTTAAATTCCAACGAGACTATTTAAATACTCATGCATGGAGAGACTATCCAAAGGCTTCTAGCTTAAAAGGTTAAAAAAGAAGCATGGCTAATGCACCTCAACCTACCTCGGGACCCGTATCGGCTGTAGAGTTCATACTAACATCTGGTATACCTCGAACAGTTGAAGGCTTACGGTATTCCTGAAAGGCTCTCCAGCTTGCTGCAAGATCAAATGGTGAAACTCTATCTGCTTTAATGAACACTCTATATTCAATAACCTCCTCGTCATCCAACCTAAAAATTGCTGAACGCACATCTCCTCGCAATGTTCCACCAGTTAGATGACGAGTGGGACCTTCCTCCACTGTACAGGGGGCGTTATTGTATTTTGGCTTCAAGAGGAAATTGAAGTCTAATGTCTCTACATAATTCTCAAACCGCAAAAATATAAATTGATTTTATTCCACGAATTCAACAACTTAGAGGAAATGCGAAACAATAAAATGCGAAGAGGAGCGAACCGTGATTAGGAGGAACCACGAAACTCAATTCCCACATAGAAGTTGATTCCCGTTCCATAGGAAGCTGATGATTAAATTTTGAATTGCATAATTAGCGACTATAAGAAAGAAGATAGAAACATAGAAATGAGGTAGGAGATGAATTACAGCTTTGGAAGAATCCCAAGAGCCGATGAGAGGGACAGAGCCGTAGATGTGAGGGACGAGTTCGCCTTTGAGCTTGAAATTTTCCATTTTGAGAGAGACGTAGAGTTGTCCTCCGCCTAGGTCATCCTTGCTGCCATGGGAGCTGGTATCCGGGTTCTTGGATGAACCAGTCCCCATTTAATTTATCTGAAGAGATAGATGCAGCGGTCTGTAGAGGATAGGTATAAGAGATACAGAAATAGTTTGTTGGTTTTTCCTGTCTCGATAAGAATGGAGTTATGGGGAGAGATGAAAAAAGAGGACTGCGTTTGCTGTCACCATACTGCGTATATTGGTACTAGTGACGGTATGCCCGGGCCCAACAGTTATTTAGTGTTGTTCTTAATCTTAAATGTCACTCACTTTTGTTTGTAAATTTCTCATGTTGGTTTTGTACATGGTAATAGACCTATGCCTTTAGGAGCTGCTTATAACAGTCGAGTATTCTTTTTTCTTTTTTTCTAAATCACAATTAATTATGTGAACAATCCGTATATGTATGTATGTTTTTGGTTCTCTGCTAAAGATCAGAGATATGCCAAAATCACTTAAAATTATTAGTAATATAATTTACAAAAGTATTTTGTTACTCTATTTATTACGTCGTTTAACAAAATCAATGCCATTTGTTTGTTCGGGTACTGTATTTATGCTTTTCCGTAATTTAGTAGCTGTGAAATTTCGTTTCCCTTTTCAATCTTCTCTTTATGATTCAGCTCAATCTAAACTCCAATATTGAGCTAAGAAAATCTTTCTCTGAGTGAAAATTTAATTTTATGATTTTTGGACCTCACCTTATTAGATACACTATGTACTAACTGCAAAAACAATGCTGAATTGGTGAAAGCTCCCGATAGGAGTGATAATTCATTTTCAACTTTGGGATAGGCCGATATCTTGATCTTTCAACTTTGTGTTTCCTCCTAGTTCAATTAGCACGTTTTATTATTATATTGGTTTATATTCATTTTTTCCCACGTATTTTAATATATTATTTTTTATTTAGATGAGGTATTTCAAGAATATTGTAAATATTTCAAGTATGATACAATTTATCTATGGTCGATGCTAAGAAAAATCTTCTAATAATCTTAAGATCTTTCTTTGAAAGATATTAAAAAACTAAAACAGAGATAAAAACTGATGTAAACATATAAATTCACAATTCTTTGCATGATCAAGTTTCAAATGAAAAGTGTTGAGTAAAAATAATTAATAAAAAATTCAAGAAAAAATGCAGTAATTAAAATAAAAACCATTTGAAAAACTAATCACATAGAAACTTTCAAATTGTGTAACAAAATTAGTGTTTTTTTTGGGTTCAATCTAAATCCTCTCTCTTAATTTTTGTATGTGAATTTTCTCTAAATTTTGCTTTACAATTTTGTGGACTTGTTTTCATAAAGTTTTATCCTAATACAAATAATGCACTCAATCATTGTGTATTGGTGACACTATATTAATTTTAAATTAAGTAATCTCTCATTTGTTATAAAAGTAATCAAATTGACCTTAAATAAATTTTGATAATAAAACATTTGAATTTAATAAATTAATAAGTGTGTGCAACAGTACATAGAGAGAAGAACACATGTTATGAATTTTGGCAAATGGAGGTGAAACAGTTTGGGTAGGCTGGGCGTGGGGTCCACGTGAAGAGTACAAATTAATGCTGTTGTATGGGAAAGTGGATAATGATTGATGATGAAAAGGGTAACTTAGTCAAGATATTCGAAAATTTATATATGAGCTACATAATATTTTTTTTTGACCAATCATTATGTTCTATTTCAACTAAAATGACCAAACAACCCTTTAAATCCAAGCAGGCATGTCTATGTGATTATCCCTTATTTGTTGTCCAGGCAACTTGTTAGATAATCCATTTTAGAACGTTCTTGAAGGCGCCTTGCTGTGTTTTATTTTACTTTTTTAGATGGACCTATTTTATATGTTTAATACAAAGAGAAAATATGATCAATCCCTAGCGATATAAATATGATCTCTTTGTAACTATGGGAGAATGGTAAATCAAGGAGATCATTGGGACCGGATGAAAACATAGAACCTACCAATATAGGAGAAAGACGAAATTGCGGATTTTGACTTCGTGGTTAGGGCATTTGTATGTTGAAATATTAATAGTAATACCAAATGCTCTAAAAATTTAAATGAGGTTAAAAGATATGCTCTGTTGAATAGCTTTGCTTTTTACGATGTTATATTTAAAAATTGAGCTTTCTGTGCATATCAAATTGAAGAATATTTATTGATAGTGAAGCCTTAAATTTGAATATCATGTCTTTTTCATCTTTCTCGAATTGTAAAGCTTTGATTTCTAATGCGGAATTTTATCGGTGTGGGTTAGTAGAAGCCATGGGTGTGTAAGCTCTATGGAGCAAATACATGAGAAATTTGACATGATCGCAAATGGAGTTAAGCTGTCATAATGATCCCGTCAGTCCTGAAAATAGGCAAGTGACGAGGTTGTTCCAACTTCAAGTACCCAAAGTATGGTAGTAGCGTAATAAGTATGGTCTGATCATCCCTGCAAATGTAAAACCAATTATAGCTTAATCTTGTAATGTTTACCTAATTTGCTTAATCGATGAGATTATTCTAACTTCAAGAACCCAATGGATAATAGCAGCACAGTAAGTATTATTTGATCATCCCTGTAAATGAGCCAATTATGACTTAATCATGTAATGTTTACCCTAATTTGCTCCATTTTCTCCCTTATAGAATTCATTTTGGAGTATAGTTTAATGACTTAGGTTTCTTGAATTCAAGAGGTTAGTGCATTGTGCAACATAATCCAAAATTCTTGGTTTTTTGCTGAAGAAATTCACATTTATGCCGAAAGGAGGAAATGAAAGAATCTCCAAAATTACATCTTCATCTTGAGGAAAGCTATATGTTAGACAAAAATCGCTTTAATAATGTAAAAGATTATCATTCTATTAGCATTAGAACACATGCTTGGCAATCTTTCTATCCAATACCAACAGCAGACTTCATATAAGATAACTAGAGTACAGGAGATGAGACAAGTTGATGAAAGATGGATTAGCATAAAAGTAAATATATATTTGTGTGTTTACCTACTCTTTCCATCCGGACCATTTAAGTTTGTGATTTATGTATGAAGATCTGTTTTTATAATGAAAGATTCTACATGAGGAATCGTGAAATTTTGTGTTTGCCCAGCGTTTACCCAAAAGCAAATAAGACGTGGCCTACTCTCAGACTATCAGGCATGTGAAGCAGTAGACAGAGCAATTTGGTAAAGTTGATGATAGCGATCAATCCAGCGGTGGCCTTGACATGTTGTTGTTAAAGTAAAAGAAAGACACAAAATGAAACTGAAAAGACGATTATACCCTCAAGCATACAGGCAGGCATGTTGACCTGCTGTGTGCTTATGCCGCTTTATTAGATAGTAGAAAAAAAAAAATACAGGCCCAATCTTGATCCGGATCCCACATTATTTTCCTTACATAGTCTATTTTGTAATATTAGTGTATTTTGTAAATAAATAAAAAAAGTTGTGCACGTGTACAACTAGAAAGACATATTATTCTTTCCCTTATTCTTCAATAATATGAAATCGTCTCTTTCTCTGAAATTAGGATTTCGATTTCTCATTTTCTTCTCCAAATTTGCGTATTTATCAATATACGCCACTTTATTATTTAGGCATAATTTAGAAGGTTGTACTTTCTATACCGTCATGAAAAATTTGTTATGTTGGCACCTGAGAAGAAGTTTCCTTGCGCGAGTGTTGAAGAGTATGATTTTTGTATCCAAAAAGAAAAATATAGGAAAACACCTAATATAAATATGCACCTAGCTGAATAGATCTTGATATATTTTTGTTGATGTCTTAATGCGGACTCGCGAGGCTATTAATTATTTTTTCCATGCAAATCATGAGTAGCATATTACAGAGAAAATTGAAAGACAAAAATTATCAAAACACAAGATATCTAAATACTGCAAAAGGAAAGGAAAAAAACAAAGCTGAAAAAGAAAAAAAAATATCTAAGTTAAGCCAAATTGTTATCCTTTCTTTAGATTGCTATCATCATTAATATTATATATATAATTTGTACATATACAAATAAAATTTGAAATTAGAAGTACTTCCATTCCAGTTTTAACTTGTATATAGCCAGACAAACTTAAACACGGCTTGTGGAAAAGCCACTTAATTAAAGTAGTAACAAACAAACCACATTAGAGATTAACTGAAAATATACAATATTTAATTAGAAAGAAAAGTTGAGCATGTCCTTGCTTAAGCTTTCCATCATCTCTGCAGTCTCACATCCACAACTGGTGGCTGTGAACTTGTTATGGCTGGTGCCAATATTGTGGAGCTTGAGTGGGCAAGTGGAAGAGATGGGCAAAAGTGGAATATTCTCACAGTTACATATTTCAATCATGTAGCCATCTGGGTCATGGAAAAACACCTGATCTACTTTTATGCCGTTATCCTCTACCACTGCAGTCACATATCTCATTCTCATTTCCTCCAACCTTCTCTTCACCACCTCAACATCAGTGCACTGTTTGGTTACATATATAGTGCGTTAAGAATTAATACTAATGAAACAAGAACTGATTTGAAATGTTACGTTACGTTTGAGATTTGAACATGCGACCTAAAGCAATTTTCATTATTTTACTACAATTTTTCTCATTCAACAACTTATATATAACCAAGAAACTAGGTTTAATTAGCCCTATTTGCACGGTATAACTTTCCAGCAAAGGCGATTCAATCGAACCGCCTCTCCCCAAACTAGCTCTTGCACTGTTTGCATCATTCAAGAATTAATGAAATTAAAAGTTAATTTACCTGGAAGGAAATGTGGTTATCCTTTGGATTAATGGGTCGAGGTTCATTGATGGCATCGTAATCCTCCATAGCTACGTTCTCAAGCAAGTGAATCCCAACTCCATAGTTGTACAACCTTTTAAACGTTAAACAAAATAGCTGAGGTAATTATTATTGTTGTAACATGGACGTGCTTTACTCTACCATGATAAAAGAATAATGGTATGAAATGGGCGCATAGCAAGATTAATTTTTTCATTGGCCTAGAATAATAATGTACATAAAACACTAGACATACATGCATGAAATATAAGGAGTGAACCTTAGGTGAAAATAGAAAGAGGGTATATAGAGGCTAACCAGGCACCATGGAAATTGAAAGAAGAAGGGCGTTTAACTAGGCAAAAGCCCAAGACATCTTCATAGAAGCGCACAGAATTCCAGACATCTCTCACCAACAAAGACACATGGTT